AAAAGCCAGAAGTGGCACTGTGGCTCAAGTGGTAGGGCACTAGCCTTGAGCTGAAGAGCTGAGGGACAGTGCTCAGGCCCAGAGTTCAGGCCCCACAACTGGACCAAAAAAAAGAAATTAGAATTCAGCAAGGGACCAGGTGCCAGAGGATCATGCCTGTAATCCTAACTACTCAGGAGGCTGAGATCTAAGGATCACAATTCAAAGCCAGCCCAGGCAGAAAAATCCATGAGATTCTAATCTCCAATAAACTACTCAGAAAAAGCTGGAAATGCTTCAAATGGTAGAGTGCTAGTTGAGCAGAAAGAGGCTCAGGGACAGTGCTCAGGCTCTGAGTTAAAGCACTACGACTGGTAAAGAAAGAGAGAGAGAGAAGGAGAGAGAGAGAGACAGAGAGAGAGACCAAAAAAAAAGTATCACAGACTTTCCTGCCCATGCTGACTTTGAACCATGATCTTAAGATCTCAGCCTCTTGAGTAGCTAGGATTATAGGTGTGAGCCACCGGAGCCTGGCTATTTATATATCTTTTGACCAATGGGAATAAAAACGACAATCTGTGACAGTGGACGAGATGTGGCTCAAGTAGTAAAGCACCAGCTTTGAGTGGAAAATCTAAGGGACAGTGCTTAGGGTCTGGGTTCAAGCCATCAAACTGGCACACACAAAAAATTAACATGAAGGAAAATCTAGGAATACATTTGAAATAGCTCTGAAAGTCTAGGACAACAGTAGAGAGAATATTTTTCCTTGCTTGGTTCTGTGTGTGTCTGTGTGTGCTCCTCCATCAGTGCTGGGGCTTGAAATCAGGGCCTGGATGCTGTTGCTAAGCTCTTTTTGCTCAAGGTTAACACTCGACCACTTGAGCCACAGCTGCTCCACTTCCAGCTTATTTTTGCTGGTTAAATGGAGATAAGCAGCTGGGCTGGCTGCAAACCACAATTCTCAGATCTCATCCTCCTGAGTAGCTAAGATCACAGACAGGAACCACTGGTGGTTGGCTATTTGCTTGTTTTTTGAGACAGAAACAGTGATGGAGACTCCTCTTTCTGGAGCACCTTAAGCCATACCAGATATTTGCCAATTCCTTCTTATTTACCAAAAGCTCACAACCATCAAGTAATCCCATGAACAAATAACCCCATGGCCCAAATTAGAATTCTCTATCTTGAAGGAAATTAAATTAAGCTTTTTTTATTTTTTTGGGTCCGGTCGTGGGGCCTGAACTCTGAGCCTGGGCACTGTCCCTCAGCTCTTCAGCTCAAGGCTAGCGATCTACCACTTGAGCCACAGCGCCACTTCTGGCTTTTTGCTTATATGGTACTGAGGAATCAAACCCAGGGCCTCTTGCATGCAAGGCAAGCGCTCTACCACTGAGCCACCTTCCCAGCCCCTAAATTAAGCTTTGAATTAGTTTGTCTAATAAAAAGCTCCAGAAAGGGGAGATACCATTAGAAATGACAAAATAATGGCATTTGCAGGGAAATGGATGGAGCTAGAAGGAATCATGTTGAGCGAGGTAAGCCAAGAGCGAAGAGACAAACGGTACATGGTCTCCCTGATAAGTGGATGCTAAATCCAAAATGTTAGGTGATATGACAAAACCAACAGGACTTAAGAAACAAAGAACTCC